AACAATTTTTCTGCATTCTCAATCTATTGAAAATTGAATTGTACATGATGTTCAATTTTCACGATGAGTTTAAAAATTCAAGCTTTCATTGAAAAATCAATGATTGTTTAACATGAAAAACCCCATTTTCTTGAATTTTCAAGATGGACGAGAAATTTAGTGAGCGCTTTCATTTAAAATTAAATTCAGTCTCACAAGATTGACGCTGGGACTGAAATTTCAAAAAAATTTTAGCAGTATAGTAAAAAATGTGAACGGTCCAGAACTGAAATGAAAAATACAATGTTAAATTTTGAATTAGCATATGATTTTCGTCAAATTCCGAAAAAAAATTACAATACGTTTCCGAAAAAAAAATCAAAATTGTCCTGAATGATTCGGCAACGTTTATAGTTTTCCATCAACAAAGATACGAACAAAAATCCCATAAACCGATGCCAAACGAATTTTACGACCAAAGCACTAAAAAAGGAAGCCATAGGACAAAGAATTAAGAACACATCTAAAACGAAATAGAATGAGGGATATTATCGCCCCCCTTTTATTTAGTAGTCGCAAGTTACCGAATAAAGCCACACATCCCTGCGTCTTAAAACGCATAAGAGGGGTAATATTACCCCTCCCGAATGACTTACTGGTCACACAAGAGCAAAAAGGGCGATAATGCAATTTTTAATCGCCGTCATAAACGTTTCCCTCTCACTTTTTGTCCTTCCCTTCCTCTGTACGCTTAATAAACGTGCCTTTATTAAACCCAACGATTTTTCGCTTTTTATGACGGATCGTGCGTATACATATGCCGGGAGGCGAACATACCGAGTAGAGAAATATAAAAATAAAAAAATAAAGAGAAATCTTTGGCTTTTTTCTTCTCCTCTGGGCTTTTTTCAAAGGGAGACTCCCTCTCTCAATAGTTAAGAATTTGCCATTGGCCCTTTGTCGTTTTGCAATGCCGGATATAACCACTCTCATGGGCGAATCTTTACGACGTCCAATCGTTTATTCTTATTTATTCTCTTTAACGGCTTTAGGTGCCTTTCTTGTGTATACATGTACCCACGTTTTCTTTACTCTCGAGCCTTTGGTTTGAAGAAAAAGAGAAAGAGATTTGTGATGAAAGAAGAGATGTAGAAATAATGTTGAGGGAAGAGAGTTTATATTTTTTAATTAAAATTATTCCAGCCATGAAATTGTGATTGATCAGAAGGGGTCGATAATCTTGACGCCAGCGGATTGGATATTTTCAAGCAGGAGACTTTGTGTGGGTAGACAAATGAACTCCAATTTTCTATAGCAAAACTTCAATTTCATGGCAAAGTGTTGAGAAGAATGTAATACGACAATCTGAGAGGAATTATTTCAGGCATATCTTTAAAGCTGATGAGTTGGAGAGAAGACATTAAAAGACATTCCTTGTGTGATGCCGAACTTGGAAAATAAATTGGAGATTAAGTAGTTTTCTGTGCAGATTATTTCTGAAGTAATTGTAACACACTGAGAAAAAATTTATTTTCTGAAATATATTTACTTGAGACAAGTAATTTTTCTTCAATCGCTTAATTCTCCCAGCCATCTCAACTCACGTGGCCCGGGAACGGTTTCATGCTTTAAAATATTCTTGTGTGAAAGTATAATTTTGTCGCAAATGAACTCACTCAAATCGCGTAGAACAATCGTCAATCTCTAAGTATTTATTATTTTAATATTTTTTTTTTCAAGTTTTTTCAATGTATCGATATGTAATATATTCATGATGTAACGCAGAACGATAGTGATAAATGATAATTCTGAGATTTAAGTCATTGAAAATAATTTACTCCTCTCAAGTAGATACGGTCTATATTAGGAAATTTTTCTCTCAGAGCAGGAAAATCGTTTCCACCCCAATGTCAACGCCGATTGGTTCCTTGAGTATCTTTCAACCCTCGATCGGTCGCGTCATGGCACGAGCGCCGTTCTGTCTCGATTTTTATTTTTTACGCTGAAACGTTGTTGAGAAAAAATCTGAAAAAATTAAAATTCCTACTTTCCACCATGTCAAACATTCAAACAATTTTTGTTCTGTGCATCTTTGCACCGATCAAAAATTAATATTCCTTAAAAATTCCACTCGGTCAAAATCTCTGTGTTTAACCTCTAAATATCAAATTTTCGCACCGAATGGAAATCAATTTTTGAATAATGTTTCCACTTTTCTCGTTTTATCCTGATATTATTAGTTGTTAGTTGGAAGTACAAAGTTACTCGTTTAATCATAAATACATAATTTCTAGACGAATGGGCCATATTTTTGTTATTCACTAAATGTCAATCAATAGAAAAAATAATTTGATCACATGATTATACACGAGTAATATTATTGAAAGGTGAAATAATCAGTACAGTTTTCATTTTATTTATGGAATATGCAATCAATGCAAGTTGAAATCGTCCAGAAACTAACCCCCGATAACTGATAGAAATGATTAGTTATTGTCAACAAATGGATTTGGTTGGAGAGACTCTCTATTCGATCTCACCAAAGGTTCATTCGTTAATAATTAACAAATGCATGTTCGAAGGGCCGTGATTGTCTCGATTTTCACTTTTCAATTGAACCATTCGTTAATTCTTAACGAATACACGGAGAGAAATGTGCAATAAAAATTACGGAACTCACAATTCGCTCACCGATTACGGAATCGACTCAGGAAATTTAAATGACGGTATCGTAATTTTTCACAGGAGACTCAGATAAAAATTACGGAACACCCTGGAAAAATTCCGTGACAGTTCCGTAAAGTTTCCTACAACCACATTTCGCTCCGGAATTACGTAAAAGATACGTAATTTTTATTGAATATTTCTCTCCGTGTATTCATTTGGTCACATTCAACTCCACCATTCGTTAATAGTTAACGAATCTCATTCGGGATAAATGAATCAGTCTATCAGTGCATCCAGAAATTGACCTATTTACCCTAGTCTACACTTCTCTTCACTTACGAAATCTTCGAATTACCCGCATCGATCTTCCATTCCTGATCCATCTCCTTCTTCAATGGCTTCAAAACTTCCCCCCCCCCCCCCCCGCCCAATGA